AACTCGCATATGGTACCATTACAGACCATAGTAACTAGCTTAGGGTACCATTACAGACCATAGAAACCAGTCTCTGCCCTTGTTAAATATACGAGCTAACAATTAATACTAAATTACAGACATAAGTGCAAATAGGCAATGATCTAATTATAGGTTTTGGAAATCAGGGTAGATTTTTCAGATGAGTTATTTTGAATTATCTTAGTAAGCCGAAGGGATATATGTGAGTTCCACATTTTAGCCCAAAGGGGCTGCGCTAACAAGCTTTTTATAACGACGTATTTGTTTTTATAGTATGTAGAACAATCAAAACCTTACGACATCTATGCATACAGCTGCAGAACGTTTCTTTAGTTAGCTTTATATAGAGGTTGCTAACTTTATGGGTATGCATGATGGAATTTTGGTGGTTGATCTCTTGCAATCTGAGAATCGAATAATTTTGACTTTCAAACTGAATGATTTGAGACTGTTGAAAAGAAAAAAGAATATAATGTACTTACGTTCAAATTGTGTAACTTTCGAAAGTAGATTATCATATGCAGTGAAGGATTGAAGAAATAATTCTTGTACAATAAGGTGTAGTCATTACTAAGCATATATTGTTTCGGTCCACCATATTTATACAAACTAGGAATTTAATTATTTGTTTTTAATAGGGCGTTTGGAAAGATGCTATTCAAACTAAACTAAAACATAAACGCTTTGAACATCGGGATAATGATGATGTGAAAGTATATTAGGCGAAATATTCAAAATTAGGATCTGGGCGTCCGGTGAAAAAAATGCTTGGTGAAATCGCTCAAAGAGATCGACAAAAACAAGTAAACCTCTATTAGATACCTTCTTATTTTTACTTCGGTGCTTTTTAGATTATGTTGATAAACTATGACTACGATACATTAGCTGATATTAAAACAAAAGCTAACAAACTACGTGATGATCCTCAAATAGGTCTTGATATTCGACTTCAGTTATGGAAAGAAACTGTTCATGTTAGACGTAAAGCTATACGTAATCAAGCAACATCGGAAATTCTCCAAGAATTTCCTGGATATAAAGACCCCGTCCTGGTAAGCTTAGTTATATTTTCTTTTATTTACATTGAATAAATTTATTTCTACGACAGATTTTTGAAGAAGTGAAAATGATCATGAGAGTAAATTTGCGTGCTGTCGCACGGTGTCAAATACCAGTTTTACTTGATAAGATGATCGCAGCACCTGTTTTCATTACAGGTTGTAACACACATGAAAATATTTCGAATAACTGTCTTTTTAGACTCGCCACCGGTTCAACTCATTCGTGTACTGTGTAGACAATTTGAGGAAGCAGTTCATCATTTATATTGTAATACGGTGAGTGCTTTTCTGTAGCTGCTGGAATGTTTTTTTTACTAATGTATTAAAAACAAATGTGTAAAGTGTTCGAAATAGACCGGCATAAGAATATTTTTGTTAATAAATGAGTCTTTTTTAGAAAAAAACTAACAGACTTCTACTATTCCAAAAAAACGTTTTCGTTAGAATCATATAGAAACATTACAAAGTTTTTTTTATTATTTGCATCCGATAAAAGAAAAAAAGATTTTCATAGTTACACTAAATTATTTGATAGACTCCGCATTTTCTCATATATGAATTTACCAGAGCCATCTATGCTATTGTTTTAATAAAGTTTGTTTTCACAAGAAGTAAAAAGAGACATCTATTTCAATCGTACCATAAATTTTATATTTCATTTCTCCAGTCACATTAGTCAGTAACACGTACAAACAAATTACACTAAATAACTAATATATTAACTATTACGCTAGTAGATATCAAAGTGAATCAACGAAAAAAAGTAAAGACTAAGATAGCTCCTGCTAAGTATTTTACTCGAAATCATCTTCAACGGTGTTATTTTTCCGATCACAATATTTGTAATTATAAGCCTCCTACATTCCAACCAAACTGTCACTATTCCCACTTCTAATACTGTTGTTATTAGGTCTTATCTGATTAGTGTAACATTTGATTCAGGTACTTTGAAACTGCAATATATTGAGCGGTTAAATAATATGTAAATTGTAGACATATAGCACACAAATGTCCATGCATCAATTTGGTGTACCTAATTGTGAATATTTTTTTTCTAGACACCATCAACTCCATATCCAACAATGGTATTTGATGATAATGTTATTTATATCTATTTGGACTTTCTTCCGATCGTTTCAACAACATCACCTGATGATGGTTTAGCACTTTTACTAGCAATTTATCTCATATTCGAATTGAACTTTCCTAAAACAATCGACCGATACGCTTTCTATATTCCATTATTTTTGGTGATACACGATTTATTTCGAATAAGATGCGTAACTTAATCAAGGAGAAGAACATTGAAATTTCCACCGAACAAAATCGAAAATTATTAGATAATACAAATTTGTTTTCAAATAGTCATACAACAGTTAACAATGATTCTCAATTATCACAATCAAAAGTCAATATACAATGGTTTGCAAAAAAACTTGGAACACTCTAACTGCATAAACATTTTACATTTTAAACATTCTCTTGCGCTTTTACTTCGATGTTATTATATATTTATGCTTATCATATTGTCCACTAAAAGTATTCGTACGTTTGATTAATTTCTATTCTCTTGTTTTTGAATCGTAACGTGATATGGTAAAGATAAATTACTTAAAATCACATCAAATATCTGTATTACATTATTGGAACATGGGAGTTCGTTCGGCCAGAAAAATCCACGGAGATACGAAGATAACATTGCCTACTATTAGTTATCAATTGAAAAAACTACGAACTCAAGGTTCTCTGCAACACCGACAGGGTAATGGTCGAAAACGTAAGATTGACGCAAAATGCGCTCGAGCGTTAGGTCAATTTTTTAGACGAAATAGTGAAGTTACGTTGCATGAATTGACTGAAAAATTACAGAATCAATGTAAATTAACTGTTTCTACTAGCACCATCTCACGCCATTTAAATCGTCTTGAATATGTAAATTGTTTACCATTGAATACTCCAATGCTAACGGAAGAGCACAAAGAGCGCCGAGTCGAATGGGCCAAAGAACATTTAAATGACGATTGGAAAGCTACAATATTTACTGATGAAAGCTCATTTCAATTGTTTAGAAATACTATTCGTCGATGGTCAAAATGCGCAGCAGAAGAAAAAAAAAGAATCCCGAAGAATCGGCAAAAAGTTCATGTTTCGGGTTCTATTAGTTATCGTGGACGAATCGTGTTTCATTCGTTTCAAAATATTATGGATAGTAATTATTACATTGAAATATTAGAAAACAACTTAATTATGAATGCCAAACGTCAATTCAAGACTAAATGGCGATTGCAGCAAGATAATGACCCCAAACACAGATCTTCAAAAACTGAAAGATGGTTGTCTGAGAATGTTCCAGTCGTTATGAACTGGCCAGCGAATAGCCCTGATCTCAATCCGATTGAAAACATTTGGAACATCATGAAACATCGGATTGAGAAAAGAAAACCGAAAAATATTAATGAATTGAAGATTTTTATCGATGAAGAATGGAACAGCATCGAAAAAAATGTTATAATTAGGGGTGTGAATTTATTGTTATTGTTATTAATAACAATAACTTTTTTGTTATTGTTATCAATAACAATAACTATTTTTGTTATTTGTTATTAATAACAATAACTTTTTTTGTTATTGTTATTAATAACAATAACTTTTTTGTTATTTGTTATTAATAACAAAAAAATAACAAATAACTTTTTTCTGAAAAACTCTTAACTTGAATTCCTGTCTATCTTAACTATACCAATCCTGGTAGTCTATGTTGAAGGAATACATTTACTATTGCTATGACATTAATCAACCGATAAATGTGAGA